TCTATTTAGGTGATGGTAAAACAGTTCAAATTGAGATAACAGAAGTTTTTAAATTATTGTTAAAAATCAAAGTTTATTTGAATCTTAATCAAACATTTATTATACCGTCTTTTCGACGAAATTTGATTTTTTTTTCTATTTTAAACAAATTTGGTTATTTTTGTGCATTTAAAAATAAAAAATTTTAATTGTTTCATGATTCAAAATTAGTTGGTTCTGATTATTTAATACACTACGATAATCTATATTTAATTGATACAATTATCTCATTTAATGAATCCTTGCATTTATGTACTAGAAGAGTAAAGAGAAAATTAATCAATGAAAATTCGACTGCATTATAGCATAAGAGATTAGATCATATTTCCAAATGGAGAATAGAAAGACTCGTGTCAAATGAAATTCTCGACTGTTTGAATTTTACAAATTTTGATGATTTTATTAGCTGTATAAAGAAAAAACAAACTAATAAAAAGAGATTTGAAACCAATAGATTATTAGACGTCTTAAATCTTATACATAACATCTGTTTGAAATGGTCAACAATATTTTATAACGTTCATAGAGAATTTTTCAAGATATGACTACATATCTCTCATTTCTGAAAAATCACAGTTGTTGGACGTGTTCAAAATTTTTAAAATTGAAGTTGAGAATCAACTCAACAAAAAAGTTAAAAACGTTAGATCTGACCATGGTTATGAATATTATGACAAATATGGCGGTTCAAGTGAACAATGTCCAAGATCATTTGCTAAATATCTAGAGAAATGTGATATCGTCTCACAGTACATTATGCCGAATTCACCCACTATGAATGATGCAGTTGAAACACGAAATAGAACACTTAAAGATGCGGTAAGGAGTGTGATATGTTATTCTACCTTACCAGAATTATTTTGAGGAGAAGCACTTTGGACTGCAACATATATTCTTAACAAAGTTTCAACTAAAGTAATTATAAAAATTTCTTATAAGTTTTAGACAGGAAAAAAACACAATTTGAAGCATTTACATATTTGAAAATATCCAATTGAAGCAAAACCTTATAGGTCAAATGAAAATAAATTGGACTTAAAAACCGTTAATTGTTATTTTATTGAATATTCTGAGAGATTCGGGGGTTACAAATTTTATGATCTCACCACTAAATTGATTTTCAAAACGCAAAATGTTCGAATCTTTAAAGATGTCAAATTTGGGAGAGAAGATACAGTAAGAGACCTTATTTTTAAGAGAAATATGTTAATATTCCCACAAGTTTCATTGATCTTGTTCAAAATCTTATTCCTGATCTTGATTGTGATATAACAAATCAAGATAATATCGAAAAATAAACTGTTATAGAATAACAAATTCTATCTCTTCAAGAATCAGTGCCATTAAAAAAATTTACTAGAGAAAAGAGAAGTCCAGTATCAGATGATTGCATTATTTTTCTTCAAAAATATGAAGATAACACTGAATTGATGAAAAATTATTCAATCAACTTTTGTCAAATTATGAAAAATTTAAATTTTTAGAAGTGGATTGATGCCATGAATGAAGAGATTAAATTTATAAAAGACAATGATATTTAGGATCTTGTCTCATTGTCAGAAGGAGTGAAATTCATTGATTGTAAATAAATATTTAAAATCAAGAGAGATTCGAAAAGTAATGTGAAAAGTTACAAATCTCATTTTGTTGATAAGAATTTTACACTATAAAGAAATTTTATCTCTTCCCTTTTCGAAAGATTTTTTTAAAATTATCATGGCATTAGTAAAGCATTTTAATCTTGAATTACATCAAATAGATGTAAAAATAGCGATTTTCAATGGTAACATTGATGAGATGATCTATATGGTGCAGTTAAAAAATTTTGTATCGGGAGATTCAAAAAATATGGAGTATGTTTGGATTGAGATTTGAGATAAAATAATTTGCTTTACAAATTTTAATCATATTTTTTATCTTTTTAATCACTTTTTTATTTCACGTACATCACATCATAAAATGTGTTACAGTAATTATCTCAAATAAATCATCCAAATAAACTCCTATTCAAACGAACCCATAATTTACAAATTTTAAAAATTCATCTATGGATTCAAACAAGTATATCAACAATAATATTTTAAATTTCATCAAATAATGATTTCATTTGATTTTGAAATAAATTTAGTTGATAATTGTATATACTATAAGTTTTATGAGAGCAAATATATTTTTCTGATATTATATGTTGATGACATTTTGCTTGTCAACAACGATATAGGTCTATTACATGAAATCAAGATATTTCTAATTAAGAATTTTGAGATGAAAGATTTTGATAATGCATGTTTTGTGTTAAGCATACATATACATCGAGATCGCTCTCGAAATGTTTTGAAACTATCACAAAAGAGTTATATCAAAAAGATTTTTAAAAAATATAGTATACAAAATTATAAATCAGGTGACACTCTTGTGATTAAAGGAGACAAGTTTAATCTCAACCAACGTATAAAGAATGCTTTTGAAGAAAAAAATGTAAAAGATTCCTTATGCATCAGCAGTATGGAGTCGAATGTATGTTCAGATATGTACGCATCCGAATATTACGTATATTATTGAAATTTTGGATAGATATTTAAATAATTTTGAATTAGATCATTAAAAGCCAATCAAACGAGTCTTGCGAGATTTACAAAAAATAAAAAATTACATGCTCACATATTGGAGGTCAGATAAGTTCAAGGTCGTTGAGTATACTGATTTCGATTATGTTGGATGGTAAGATAGTATGAAATCAACATCAACCTATATTTACTTGCTAACAGGAGGTGTCATATCTTGAAAAAGTGTTAAACAGTCTCTTATAACCTATTCTATTATGGTTATAGAATTTATAACTTGTTATGAGGCAATCAATCATAGAATTTGGTTGTAAAAGTTTGTCACAAAATTACGTATAGTGAATAGTATCGAAATACCACGAAAATTATTTTATGACAATAATTCAGCAATTCTATATTCCAATAACAATAGAGACTCGACAAAATCTAATCATATAGATATTAAGTTCTTGACTGTTAAAAAAAGAGTATAGAGTGGACAGTTATCGATAGAGTATATCTGGACAAACCCTATAGTTGCGAATTTGTTTATTAAGAGATTGTCACCTAAAATATATCATGAGCATACTGCTCGTATAGATGTCATGTTATTAAATGATATTTAGTTTTAGTGAGAGTTTATTATTTTAAATACTCTTACGATATTGTATTTTTTAATTATTAATATTTATGGATATTTTTATACATAAATAAAGTTTAAATTTATTTATACTCTGATTTTGATATGATTTGATTTTATGAAAGTTTGAGATGAACCAGTTGAAAATAAACATGTTATGATCACATTACATGAAATTTTAGTAGTACACATTCATATCATAATTCATGTAATTCAATTGTATCAATATATGTGACTATTGATCGGTCGAATTACAAAATTAGAACAAAAACCGCTTTGATCTAATATTGGTGTAATTAATAGATCGAATTGAATGTAGATACATTTTGGTTATAATAGTAAAGTTGATCTCATGCTGTTAATTTTAAATATATAATTACAAGGTTACACATATAGTCCAAGTAAAAAAATTGTTTGATTCTTAATCCAACGTTGGATATAGATGTGAATAATTATATGTTACAAACTGTCAAATAAAATTAAATCCAATTAAAATGATTAATTATAATTTGAAAATTAATATATTTAATAGAATATGGTCTTTTAATGTGTAGAAATTTAAAAATAATTTCTATTTCTATAATGGTTTGAAATAGGAATCCAAAAGATAACAGGAAAGTTATTTATAGATAGAATTATGGTCCTCAAATCACACGTTTTCCTATTGCCGTATTTTCTAATATCACATAATAGTTCTTCCTTGATATCAGATACTAGAGAGAAACAAAAGGTATCTCTTAAAAGATTAACGAATACGTGTTGATCTAGAAAATCACCCTAAAATTCAAGTATGCTTCCCTAAAATCACCCTAAAATCTCTAAAAATTCAAATGCCTGTTCGTCAACATAAATTCAGGTATGCTTCCATAATTCTGCTACTAATTTATTTTTTAATAATTACCATAAAGATTTTGAATTTAATAGGTGATAATTTTCACCAAAAGCTAATATAAAAAACCACTTAACATCATGGTTTGTTAGCTGATTAAAAGCTCCATAGACTTCTTCTCTCTTCATAACTTTTTTGTCCTACCTTGTCTAAATGTGCAACAATAAGTGACAAATTTCATTATTTGGTTATGAACAAAGGGCCTGTTTGGAACGTAGGTTTTTTAGCAAGTTTGTTTGCTACTAGTTTTTTAACAACTTTTACTATAGGAACCCCAAAAAATCTTGTAAAAAATTTTTGAACTTTGTCTCAACCAATTTATGAAACTGCGTCATTTTGGCCAAAAAAACTCAAAAACTTTGCCCGTCCTCGCGTCCTCGTCAACTCAAAAACTTGTCCCGTTCTTCCTCAGCTCAACGCACAGAACATAAATTATTGTTTACTTCCATTGGGGCTATAGATAAATTACTGTATAGCCCCAATGCAAGTAATTTATCTATGGATTCTCTTATTGCATACATAGCAATAGGAGTATTAACACAGGTGAATCACGTCCAAATAATAGCAAAGAACAACTAGGACAGCCAATCCCGACTCAGGACACACAAAATAGTTAACTCTTATATTATATATGGGATCCAAAAAAGAGACTGGTTATAGAATACCTTGAAGTAATTGGTGATACAAAACTGCAAGTCGTTCTCTCCACACTCGGACCAAACAGTGGTAACAGGATCAGGAAGTAAGAGTTTTGCTACTATTAGCGAAAGTGAAAATTAGCCAGGCCATTTCTTAACAATCCGACATGCAAGTTGAAAAAAAAAACCCCAAAACAAACCTCTAGAAATGGATCTAGTGCGCGGCGGCATAAACCTGTGGACATTGTCTAATGAAAGAGGTCTGCAGACGTCTTCAAAGTGCAGGTTTCAATAGTGCAATTTGCAAGTCTAAGTGGAGGAGCTCACCAGATATTCCATCAGGTAATTCAAAATTCCTATATCTGCTTTAGTAATTACTACTTTATTGTCAGATTAGTTGTTTATATTTTGTATAATTTTATATTAGGGACCACTCCTATCAAGATCTACAACAACTCTTCAGCTGTTAAACTATTAATAAATTTTTGTCCATAAATGAGCTCCATCTATATCTATAGCCTGTGATGCAGAGATATTTAGCTCCAATCTGAAACGTGTTTGCAACAGTAGCCATGCACCTGTAGATGGTTCACTTTTTCTTGAGGGTCATGTTCTGTTAGCTGGTTAAAAGCTCCGTGGACTTCTTCTTTCTCCATAACTTTTTTGTCCTACCCTGTCTAAATGTGCAACAATAAGTGACAAATTTCATTATTTGGTTATGAACAAAATATCGATCGCCTTCTTCTTTATATAAAACAACAACAACAAATGAAAAGACAACTCAGTGGTCCAGTTAATTACTCTCCTCCTAAGTGAAGACGATGATGCTTAGGAACTCGAAGAAATAAAGAATATTTCTGCTTGTTATTCAATTCCAACCGAATCTTAATAGGCTTCTCAATTGCAGCACTTACGTTGTTTTGCAGGTGAACATACCTTTCTGGATGTAATAGACAACTCAAATTCCAAAAAAGGAGCGAGGGTGATCATAGAATTGAGTTTTCGAGCCGAATTTGAGATGGCAAGAGCAAGTGAAGAATATAACCAGCTTATCAAGAGGCTTCCCGACGTATTTGTAGGTAAAATTGAAAGATTGTTATCTTTAATCAAGATTTTGTGCTCGGCAGCTAAAAGGTTCATGAAGGACAAGAAAATGCACTTGGGGCCATGGAGAAAACACAAATACATGCAAGCTAAATGGCTGAAAACTTGTGAACGTACAACATCTTCTGCACCCTTATCAACAGCATGCTCTAGCCGACCAGCTCGGCCGAGGGCTTCCATGCTTACAGTAGATTTGTTGGAGAGCATGCCCGGTTTACATCTTACAGCAGTTGAAGTCATATACATCATCTGTTCCACTTCTACTTGGCCTTCAATTTTCGTGTGTGTGTACAAAATAGCGAGATGCCTTCGGGCCTTCGAGAAAATCAATCTTATTGCGCCTTTTGATCGTTTGCTCTACTGAGTATATCTAAATTTTGGTCTGGTATCACATCACAATATTTTTGGTTTAGAAAGGAATTGCAGTCACAAATATTATACCATTCTTGAAACACAAAAGCCCATTAATGGTAGGCCACGAATTGTAAACCAGATGTGGGTGGTACAGTCAAAATATTCACCAGGCCCGTAGAAGTTTTACCTGAATGAAGTTTCCAAACTGGAAATCCGTTGTGACTGAGTTGTTAGAATCCTGTGCAATATACATTTCCTTTGGGGTTTGTTTGACAAGCTCCTGGGTTTAAGTTTAATATTTTGAACAAATAAAATTGAATAAAAGAATTACATATATGCGAATTACATATGTATTTTTAGTACATTGCTTAGAAAAAATCTTTCTTTTTTCAGAAACAAAGAACCAGAGGGTTATTGTTGCAAAAAATGCATATGTCTAGCCTATCACATTACATGCTTAAATAAATAAAAACAAGAATTAATTGCGTCTGAGTTGCCTCACACTGACGGAAATAGATGTTAGAGTTTGTTGGGAGGGCGATTTATGAGATATATACCTAAGGGCTCTTATGTATTTGCAAAAAATTTGGGAGGCGAAGTATAATATTCACCAAGTTATAAGTAGAGACTTTTAGTATTTTAGGGGGACAAAAAGGGACTTCTAAACTCTTGGGATCTAAAACCTAATTTCTATATAAGTATGTGAAACATTTATACAACATTTTAGGGGAATCATGGGGTGGGAGAGGGGAGAAGCGAGCCTTTCCTCACATATTCTCTTGGAGAATTAGAGCAAATTACCCAATTAGCTAACCACTGAACTTTTTGAATAGTTAAAATTTGTCCACTCAACTATTAATAATATATTTTTACCCACTGAACTATCAAAAGTGTAAATTTTGGGTCATTTCGTCTAATTATACCGTTAACTTTACCCACTGAACTATGATTTATTAGACATACTATTGGTAGTTAGATCTAGTAGAATTAATGGTAGAATCGAATGGAACCGTCCAAAATTGTACGTTTGGATTAGCTGTTTTTGGGGTTGTTTTTCAAAAACAATACTGTAGCATATATATATTTTTAATAGTTCAGTAAATAAAAACATACTATTAACAGCTGTGTGGTCAAAACTCCACTATTCAAAAAATTTAATGGCTACCCAGATAATTTGCTTTGGAGAATTCTGCCAAATGATAATGATCCGTTTGGTAAGATATACGCATAATTTTCCAAAAAATGTGTTACCATAATAAGAAAGAATTATCCGTCCATGTGTACGCTAGTAATTGAGGCACACATAAGTAAGTGCAACTAAACAAGGGATTAAATCCCTGTTTGGATTGTAGGTCAAGGGTTTAAAACTCATTTGCAGTAAAAAAAATTCAAGTAAGTGCCAATGCACCCTTTTGGTTTAGTCAGACCCGTATACCTGCTAGCCCCTTATACAGCCTCTTTAGATTCCCCCTCCCTCTAGAATAGGATAAATTAGATTATACAAATGTTATAGTTGCGGAAAAACATAAAAAAAGTAAGTGCAATTAATAAAAGCAAATTTATTCGTAAAATTTTTTTTTCTTGAATGTTTAAGTGTTAAAAGGAAAAAATTAGTATTGCCTGAGGTGATTGAAGAAAAAGGAAAATATGAAGAAAGGAAAGAAAAAACAATCCTGGCCGATATTTTGTTTCACACTTTTTACATCTCTACTATAGAGTCGGACCGAAGTATCAACACTTTGGTTTGAGAAACACAAAAAATTGGGAAGATGAGAAGTTACCGTAGTTTTTTTTTTTTTTTTTAATGTAGTTATATATGGAGCTATTTCACCCTCCATGCTAAGGGTAAAATCAACAAAACAATCAACCAGTGATAAGCTGAACTCGATTTGATCATTACTACGAAATTAGCAGCATTTTAGAGTAATTAGAAACAATACATCTTTACCAACCCTCTCTAAAGTCTAAATAGGTTGGCATAATACTGGGTTATTATCACTTTACCCCCTTAAACTATATCATTACTATCAGTTTACCCCCTAACATTATCTTTTAGTCACTTTATCCTCATAAGTAATTCAACTAAACATGTTAAGAAATTTGGACAAAAATACTCTTTTATTTTATAGTATTACTACATTGTTATTATCACTTTATTCGTTTAGATTATAGGGATACAATCACTTTAGCTCCTAACATTATTTTCTAGGCATTTTACCTCATTGTTAATCTAACTAGTATGGTCAAAAATTTTTTAAATATATTTACCCTTTTTTATATATAATTAAAAATAAAAAAGTTAGAATGGTTATTCTTCCTTTTTTTTCACTTTAAGAGATTGAAAAATATAAAAATAAAAGGGTTTTCTCAAATTTCTTTTTTTTTATATTTATTAATACTAGGAAAAGAAAAAGAGATAGGAAAGAAGGAGACAAAAAATTAGATTTTGCAAAAAAGGAAAATAAAGAAAAGTCTAACATTATCGTATTACTTTAAGGTTGTTGAGATTAGGATTGGAATTTGATGGTAAACAAAAAAGTGAAATAATTTAAAATAATAAAAGTATTTAATTATTTCTTATTTGTAATTTTTTTAAAAAAATTAAGCTCTCTCTCTCCCCCTCCCCCTCTCCATCTTTCTATTTTTTTCAACATCAATAAGATTGCCAAGAAAAAAAAATTAATATTTTGACTTTTTTTTCTTGATACTAAAAAGGAGAAGAGTCACTCTAAATTTTTTATTATTTTTATCATGCAAAGAGGGGGGTATTTTCTTCTAAAATTTTTTAACTTCCTAAGTTAGTTTAATGATAGAATAAATTGTCTAAAAAATAACTCTATGGGTAAATTGATAATAAAACTATATTTTATGGGGGTAAAGTGATAATAATTTTAAGGGTTAAACATGTCTTTTTATTTTAATTAACAAACTTCGTCAAGTTTGACCGTTAGTTTTGGGGGTAAAATGACTAAAAGATAACGTTAAGGAGGAAATTGATAGTAATACAAAACGTTACGAGGGTAAAGTGATAATAACCCTAATACTGGTGTATAATATGTTTCTATACATTGTGATATCCATGATTCGAGGCGGCTGATTCTGAAATACTGCTCTTTTTCCCTTGCATCCGGCGGCAGGGAACGCTGATCACCTGGCCCCCTCTAGTGTCTCTGGGTTCCAGCCTGGTATGCTGCAAACTCCACCTTTTTGGCTCCCTAATTTTGTCACTTGATCTTGTCCGAGAGGAAAATGGCATTCATATAAATCTTTACTACATCATTTTGTTCGTAGGACAATCTTTAAAGAGGAAACATCCTTCTTTGCATCTAGAGAGAGCTCAAGCTATCATTTACATTGCAACTAGACTTAAAGAACACTGTAAAGCCTAACAAATGTGTCATAACAAAAGGAAACCTCTGAACAAGGAAAAAAAAAAAATCTTTTGCGAAAGCAGAATAAATGAAGGTATAAAGAAAGAGTACAGATTGAAAACCACAAGCCTTTCTATCCTAGTCTACAATATGATTCTGCTGATTTGCCCACTTCATTTTCCTCAACCACGGCATGTCCATTCTCAAGTGAGCCAGGCCTGGAATTGGGGATACATTCAGTCTCAGAAAGATTGTATCGTCCGAGAAAATTTTGTTCATCATTTAAATTGATGTGTGCGCGTATTCACCTACCCTCTGCCATAGATTTGGACCAAGAAAGAGACATCGAAGAGGACAAATCCACTCTGATCTCGTCAAATGTGGGGTGTGAACCAATACTGATTGAGCAATTAGGCCAAATATCCCTTGATTTCATCCTCTGAAGAAGGTGTACGTCCATATCTTCACCGTCAGATTCATCTGCATCAGTCTTTCCTTCAAAGAATTTCACGACCTGTCTCATTGTTGGTCTGACACTAGGGTCAGGGTGCGCACATAACAAGCCTAAATGCAGCATTTTTTCGACTTCCTCTTCATCGCATTTCCCTTCCAACCTTAATCTCTCATCCATGGCATTAAGCAACTCGCCTCGTCTCATTAGCTCCCATGCCCAATCTACAAGAGGTGGCTTTCCTTCTTCTATTGGTTGTCTGCCACAGATGACTTCCAAGATCAAGACTCCGAATCCAAACACATCTGTTTGTGTCGATGCCCTGCCATTCTTGACCAACTCCGGTGCCATGTACCCTACCGTCCCAACAACCATAGTTGTGGCAGCCACTTGGCCATGATCATGCAGTCTAGCCAAGCCAAAATCACCTAATCTTGCATTCATGTCTTTGTCAAGTAAAACATTGCTGGCCTTAATATCCCTGTGCAGCACCTTAGCTTCCCAGCCCTCATGCAAGTACGAGAGTGCTGAAGCCACATCCTTTACAATCCTAAGTCTGTCTTCACAATTCAACATTTTACTCTCATCACACCCAAAAATTCTCTTGTCTAGGCTCCCATTTTCCATATAATCATAAACCAATATGAAGCTACCTTTCTCCTTCTTACACCAGCCTCTCAATCCCACTAAATTTCTATGCTTTAGCCTTCCTAAGCTCGAAATCTCTGATATAAATTCTCTCATCCCTTCGCTATTTTGGTGAGAAATTCGCTTAACTGCTACGGCCGCCCCTCCTGGCATTATGCCTCTGTAGACTTTCCCGTTACCTCCAACTCCAATAACGTTTTCATCAGAAAAATTCTTTGTAGCAGCTTCAATTTCTTGATAAGTAATCCTATGAGGCCAATACTCTAATTCCCAATCTTCCATTTCTTCTCTTTCCCTCTTTCTTCTCAGACTATTTTTGATCAAAAAGACAGAAATTAAAGATCCAACAAGCAGTAAAATAAAAAGGCCAACAATCATACCTGCAATGAACACTTTTTCTTTATAAATTGGATCTTTGGGAAGCTCAAATGACGGCAAACCGCTTGAGATCAATGCATCACTCAGCGAAAAATTCGTATTACTAAAACTCCAAGCTAAAATCTTGTGACTTTCAACCAGCTGCCCTGTCGCTGAAGTGAA